ATACTGGAAGGTGAAACAACGGAGGTGGAGAGCCTCAAAATAAAACGGTAGATGGGGATTTATTTCAGGAATGACTTCTTTCTTCTCTGGAAAATTTAGTTCTTTTGAATGAACAAAAGGACGCCATTTGTAAAGTTTTCCTTCCCACCATTATGTTTATTTCAAAACTAACAAAAACCACCTTGGGAGTTGACACGTTTCATTTATTGTCATTAGGAAAGATTTTTAGAATTTGTCTTTTCATATTTGTTTTCTCAAAGCAAATCAAACCCAACAATGTCTTGGCTTATGATTTAAATATTTCATGTTCTAAACACTTTTACAGACACTGTTAAAACAATAAGTGACAGAACAAAACATGTTTATCGTCTCCCATCACCGAGTTCCTTATCGCAGCAGATGAAGCTTGTATTCTCTGCCGGTCTCATTTGTCTCAGGAGAAAACAGAACTACTTTAAAGTGAGTCCAGAGTACAGAGCGACTTTATCCAACATCCTCTCTGCCCGGACAGAGCGCTCACACTCATAAAGGTGCAACGTGCAATTTGTCACTGCAGAAGTTTGTTTTCGGAGGAGTCGGTGTGGGCCTTCAGGTGGACATCATCAGCCTCCGTCTTCTTTCTGTTTTCATGCACCAGCACAAACACGATGCACACTGACGAGACGTGGAGTCCCAGCTGACTGTGTGTCGGTTCAGTCTTCTCGGCGTATGTTTGTACAGATGAGTAAGATGCTATGGTTGTGTGTTGGCGTTTCTGTCATCACATTTAATCGTAAACGGTACACACAATGTCTGTGGTTTAATAAAATAATTCACAAACTTACGGGTTAAAGAAGGTCCACCCAGCTTTGCTATCGCTGCTCGTCAACAGTAAGAAGGAAGGTCACTCCAGCAGTCCTCGGTGTCTCTTTACTGCAGGAAATGGCCCCAGAGACATGAGCCAGCGCTTCCTGTCCGAGCACGCAGCCGACTCACCTTCCATAGCAACGCGCCTCTTTCAGAAGCTCCAGCTCAGTTTGACCCGGCTCAGCTGCAGACTGTGGGTCTGCAGGACAGTTCTGCAAGCGGCAGCATTTTCAGGGATACGGTGGTTTGATTACACCCCCTGACCCCAGGGGGGAATGGTATTCTTGTCACGATTGTCTTTCCCTGAAGGCAGCTTGTGTGCCAAGACTGAGACTGGATCTCAGTCTGCACATCCTGGGTGACGGAACCAAAAGGGGGAGTGGTGGCGCAGAGGATAGAGAAGGTGGGCCTGTGATCAGAATGTCGTCGGTTCAACTCCCCGGATCGACAACATTAAAATGTAGGTGGTAAGGGTGAAACCCACACCTGCCTCCACCCTCATTTGCCCCACTCTGGGCCATTGAACAAGGCCCTTAACCCCCTCCATCTGCTCCTCCGAGCACCCTAGATGGCAGCTCTCTGCTCCACACAGAGGGCTGTGGTAGCTCGGTGGTCTGTGGTTGCATCAGGAAGAACATCAGGCATAAAAACAATTGCCAGTCTTCATCTGAGATAGTTTGCTGTGGTGACCCCTGAAGAATGGAACAGCCGAAAGAAGGAAAAAATAATAATTATGAATTCAAGCAATACAATATGTGGTATTATTTTGGCAGCCAATGCATCAACGTATTTGTAAACTGCTTAGCATTTTACACATTTTGTTTTAATACCATGGTGTTTTTTTTCCTCAAGGTTCTTGGTGCCGGACCATGTCTTGTTAAATTATTTGAACTTTGTTGCCGTATGTCTTCAATAGAGTTACATTTGGGCTTATAAATCCGATCCGGCCCAGTCCGAACCTGTATCATTTTTTTTTCCAAGCCCAACACTAAGCTAACCAATTAACTGTGATTACAGGCCTGAACCTGAAAAACAAAATACTTTTTACTGCTTTTGCAAGCAAATCAGTTTGACATGACTTAAAAACATGTTTCAAAGAAAAGATATGAGTTCTTGTGTATTAATAAGAGTCGGCAGATTATTATAGCTATTATACTATTATTATTATATTGTTATTAACGGTCAGCGGACGTGCACGGCTGATGATCCGGTTGTCAATCTGTTAACAACCCGCCCCCGAAACTAAGGTAAAAGGTGGATTAATTACATAAAATGCTAATTAAGTCATGGGCAGTGCCTGGAGCTGACGACACAAAAAACTTTTATCGGTTGAGGTGTAGGAATAAACAAGTGCAGTAAACAGAAAATAATTTATCCGCACAGACAAAAAGCTCTCATAAATAAACTAATAATAGATTGGCCACAAAGAATAACATTTAAGGAAGTTAACACAATTGATGGTAATCAAGCCATCAGTTATGTCCCACAAACGCTTCATCCAACATTATTTCCATATCAACACACGAAATCCCTTAAACACCATAAATAAAAAACGAACTTGATCAAACTTTCAGTCCAACTGTCCTATTGGAAGGAAAGTTGGTTTTGAAGGAGGATGAGGGAAACGCCCACTCAGTCTAGGTGTCGGCGCGCTGAAATAAAATGTAACAATCTCACCAGATCTCAGTGTCCATAGGTGTTAGCATGCCTCCTCTGCAGTCCTGGGTACAAATGATAATAATAATCCACCGTAATACAAATTTGGGGGTGAAGAATAATCCACAGGTAATCCAGGGCAACAGCCTCACGCCATATCGTCTTCGACAGGTGAGCAGTTGCACACCCAAAAAATAAATAAATAAATGCAGTCACTTCTAAAACCGCATCCAAAGCCCGCCCCGCCCCGCCCATCAAGCACTTCATTTCGACCTGACACAACCCGAAATTCGGGCTCATTTAAACACGTGAATTTTTTTCAAATCTGTTGCAATTAAATCCTGAGTAAATTTGATTCCGCATAATCCCAGTCCTGGTAGTTGCCTGTCTGTTTCCCTGCATCATCCAGACCCGGTGATTTAGGGTTATTTTATCGTGTTGATTCCCGTCCTGCCCTCTGTCTAGGCCTGTATTTTTAGACCCTCCTTACTTAACAGTGGCTTATTTTCTGCATCTCTGTGAAATCCTGGAGCTTGTTGTTTTTCTTGGACAGAGACTGGGAGAAGGAAGTGGGTCATGGAGCAACCTTGCAGTGATGAAGATGGTTTACTATTTTGAGCAGCTGAGTATGTTTGTATGGTGGCTGCAAGGTCAAAGGTTCTGGGTCTGTTTTTAGCGCACAGGTGGGTCTTTTTGTCCAACCATGGAGTCTGATTTGGGGCCAGTTTTTGTTGAAACAGGAAGTGCATTTTACTGCTGTTTAGTCATAGTCAAGACCCTCTGCAGTAAGAGACTGCTGGGATTCCCCAAAACTTCTCTTCTATTGGAGAAAACAGCCCAACTGCTGTTAAACAGCTTCTGTCTATGAACTCTATTGAAAATGGCTTTATTTTTTATCATATCTGCCCCTTAAATAAAATATCCTGTTGCTGCTACATTGAAATGATTTGCTCTGGAATTATCCAAATATTAAATCAAGTAAAACATCTTTGGCAGCAGTGATTTACAGATGGAAGAGACATTAAACACTAAAAATACCTTGTTTCCTACTGATAGATGTAACAATACCTGCTGCAGGTAAAAGACGAGTTACGTCACATCTTCAGACAGTTTGTCATCAGATCATAAACGATTGTGATATCTCGTATAATAACTTAAGCACTATGATTGGGTTGTAAATAACTCTCGGCCACTACCACATCAAACTTCAGCTCAGTGTCTGTAAAAATGGCTGAGTTATCACCAGTTCTGTGTTTTTGAAGGTTATTTAGCTGTGGCTGCCATAGAATCAAGTTAACTCCAAATGTTAAGGAGTACTAAACAAGGAGTGTTTACTTCCTGAAAGTTTCTTTAAAGTCTGTGCAGTGGTTCACGAGATCTTTAGCTAACAGATGCAGACAAAAACATCACCATCTAACCTACAAAGCTCTCAACAACCTAGCTCCGTGTTATAGAGATCTTATTGTTCCACATTTTCCTAACAGAGCACTTCCCTCTCAGACTGCAGGTTTACTTGTGGTTCCTAGACTTTCCAAAAGCAGAATGGGAGGCAGATCTTTTAGTTCTCAGGCTCCTCTCTTGTGGAACCAACTTCCAGTTTCTGTGCGTGAGGCTGACACATTGTCCAGTTTTCAGACTGGGCTTAAATGGTAAATGGACTGTACTTATACATCACTGTTCTATCTTATCAACACTCAAAGCTCTTTACAATCTGTGCTCTATTTACCCAGTCATACAGCACTCTACTAGATCTCTACAAGGATTAATCAGAGCTTTATCACATTCCTTCACTGATGGGACACACATCAGAGGCAATGAGGAGTTCAGTGTCTTGCCCAGGGACACTTTGGCATGTGACTGCTGGTGGATTTGAACCTCCAACTCTTGCATTGGTGTACGGCTGCTCTAACCACTCAGCTTTAAGACAACTTTTTGATAAATCCTATAGTTAGGGTAGTGCTACAGGCTTAGACTACTGGAGGACAAATTGACCTCATTTCTTCAAATGAATAGTTACTAATGCATAAATTTGAATATATTTCATTTGAAATTATTTCTATCTTAACACGTGACTCTCGACCTGCCATTGTGTATCTGTTCCTCCTTCCTGTCCTCTCAAACCCAGCCGGTTGAAGCAGATGGCCGCTTGTCCTGAGCCTGGTTCTTCTGGAGGTTTTTCCTTTCCACTGTTGCCTTCGTGCTCGCTCAGGATGAGAGTCTGCAACAAAGTTAAACTCCAAGCAGTCTGCTGGCTCCCCTCACATTCATAGTGTTTATTTTTAGATATGAATGTTTCTGTTCAGTGCCTGAGACGACTTCTGTTGTGACTTGGTGCTATAGAAATAAACTGAACTGAATCCTTTCTGCCATTTGACAGCAGGCTATAAAACACTTGCTAAAAACAGATTACCAGTAAACGTTGCAGCAGGAAAGGCCGACTGTTTGTTGACTGTGGGGAAGCTTCCAGGCTGTAACTGTTTTTCTCTCCTCCTCCTCAGATGTGCACCCCAGCCAACACACCAGCAACGCCCCCCAACTTCCCAGATGCGCTGACCATGTTCTCCCGGCTGAAAGCGTCCGAGAGCTTCAACAGCAGCGGCGGCAACCCCATGGCCGCCGCCATGGCCACCTCGCCCCCTCCCCCCCAGGTCGGTGGCTGGGGCGTCCCACCAAATGTACCTAACCTGCCGCAGCCTCAGCAAGGACTCTGGACTCAGGGGCAGCCCCCCATGCAGCCCTGCCCCACCTGGCCCATGGGCGTCAACCCACACACGGGCGCTGAGCAGAAGGCTAGCGTAGCCATGGAGGCGGAGAGATGAAGGGCCACGTGGGACTGAAACAACACCCCCTCCTCCCACCTGGAGTTTGAAGGGAGGGGAAGGGATGCAAAGCGGGGGAGGGTGGGAGGCAATAATGGGTAGAATCGGGACACTTTTTGGAATAAAATAAAAACAGACGAGGAATCTACGAAAACCAAGAAAAACTGATCGCGGACACTTCACGAAGAGAAAACCGATGCAAATGTCAAAACCAGAGAGAGAAAAAAACGCACACGCATAGTAATAAGAAAACAACCGAGATCTTTGTGAGTTTTCTAAGTAAATGCCTAGATACAGAAATTACTATTGTTGAACTTAAAACCTGAAATGAAAAAAAAAAAAAAACCATCGTCACGCCCAAGGATTCTGTGATGTTCGAGGACATTTAAGGCAGCAGACTTTAGTTCATTGTTTAGTTTCTTCTTTAAATTTTTTTTCAGCCGGTGTTTTGAACCCACCGGCGTTCTGTGTTTTTCTTCAACAGTCTGTGCTGCATGAGGAAAGAGGAAGTTGTGACGCAGTGTTTTCGATCGACTCAAATTTCTTCACGCACTTGAGTGTGGATGTGTGTGAAGAGGTCAGTTTGTAATCAAACACACACATATACAGTGTATATAACACACACACACACATTAGGGTTTAGAAGAAACACCTCCACGGTCATCCCCATCGTCATAGGTGGGACTTTTCTTACCTCACCTGGTGGTCACCTGACTTCTTTCAGCCAATCAGGGAATTTCTTAAACCAACTGTTGCCGATGCAGGACATGTTTTTAAAAGTTATTTAGTTTTTTCCTTTCCTAATGGCAGCAGACACTCTGGTTTATGCTAATTGATCCTTTTCCTGACAGTTTTAAACCTGGACTCTGACTGTATCTGTCCACTGTATAGTTTTATTTTTCCCTAACAGATTTGGGTATTGCAAGAAAAATGAGAATTATTGTTTGATATAATATTGTTTATAATGCGTTTTTTTGTTGAAAGGTTAAAGGAAGAGGCTTTGAAAGTGGGTGGGGCTTCAGGTTGTGACTTAATTGCAGCTAAAGATTTAAACAAAAAAATAGATAAAAAGACGATTACTCCATCTTTTTAAAGCGATACGCCACTTTGCATGACGTTCATAACCTGTAACATCTTTTGTAGCAAGCATACGTGAGGTTGAGGGATTTTGGGGGGTGGATGAAGCAAAAGGGCAGGGTGGTGGTGGGAGGTCGTTCCTAAAGTTAATTTAAAAAAGCAGTGCGTCTCACCGCAAAGACTAAATTGGACCGATCTTTGAAATAATGGGTACAATTTGATATGAGCCATCACACCAAATTGTACCGTGCACCTTTTGGAGGCCCTCCACGGACAGTTTGGGGACACTACAGACTACTTTCAGATATACAGCCTCCAGTATAAAGACCCTCAGACACTGTACTTTGGGGGGGTCTGTACAGTATATCGCTGTTGACCGGTCCTGGGTCTGCTGATGCCGCTGAGAGACGGTTTTGGGAAAACCCTGATATATGGCAATATTTTAATCACAGGGTTGGCCCCCTTTTTGATTTGTCTTCTGCTATTTTTACATTAATCAAAGAGCATAAGAGGAATATTTTCAATAGCTGAGGGTCTTTTCATTTTTTAAAGAGCAAACGCATAATTAGAAAAATTATTGATATAAGAATCTTAAATAACCAACATCCTTTTTTATGTTTAATTTTAGACTGATAATGTTTGAATGCAGCCCTTTTTTCCTCCATGCTTCCTACTTTATTTGGTTAAATCAGAGCGTTTGGGTGGGCCTGTTCCTAAATGGTTTCTCATGTATGTTTCTCCCTTGTATGACTGTATGAGACCATTCCCACAATATTTGTGGACTACCTGATAATTAACTTATCATTTTTGTGAACCTAAATAAATATTGTATGTCAACTGATGGGGACTGGTTTAGTGGTGTGTGAATATTGATGTCATGGTTAACGATGTTTCCTAAAAACCCATGAATTGACTTCATGATCATTATAGATTATAGAGTTTTAAAACAGAAGTGGATAAAATTAGATAATTTCCAAATAAATTAAAAAAAGGTGACGGTGAAGCAACTTCCCATTTTTAACACGCATCAACTTTCTTCTATAAAACTACAGTGCCGACTGAAAATGTTGGGAGGTTGTGCAAAATGAAAACAAAAACAGATATTGATTTGCAAATTGCAAAACTACAACATTTTACCACCGTAGTTCATGCTCAATAACTCGGGTACAAATCCAACAATGTTGTATTTGTACATATAAAAAAACTTGAACAACTTTAGTCACTATGGAACAAAAACAAATGTTTCAAGTAAACTACCGTTTTTAGAAAAAAACCTGGCAGCTACACGTCTCAAAAAGAAAAGAAGTAACGATGGACAGAGGTTCACCTTTCTGTTGAAACCTCTCTAAAAATAGTGGAACAACTTCAGAACTACCGTAATTTCCGGACTATAAGCCGCTACTTTTTTGACGCTTTGAGCCCTGCAGCTTATCTAACGCTGAGGCTAATTTATGGATTTTTTTTTTTTGACGGGCTAACGAGCTTCCTCCAGCCTAAACATTTATCCTCGTTACACCTGGGCACTCACATAACTGCACAATGCACGTCTCTCTTGGAGCGGGTTCTCGTGACTCGAGACTTCCTGTATAAATAAAGATTTTATTTTTTTAATCTGACCAATGAAATTATCGAACAGGTCACAGTCCGTTTCTCAGTGTAAATAATTTTGCAGTTTATCCCCCGTTCTCTCCTCCCCTCCCTGTTGTGCCCCCAGGGAGGAGTGAAACTTTGTGCATTATTGCATCATTGCTTCCTCCGCAGTGCGCAGGAGGAAGGAGAAGATGGCGATCAATGACTTCCTGATAGGCTACTGTTTTTTTTTTTAACCAGCCGTGTTACAGGCACGGTTCAGAAAAATACATTTACTGTATATATTTGCGTATGTTACCGGTATCTATTTAATTAAAAGTAAAATAAATAAAATTCTGAGTAAATATCTCATGATACAACGTGGACACGACAGTACAATTTATTTATTTATTTATTTGTAATTTACCAGACGTTGCTTATATTCGGATGCGCTCAATAGTCCGGAAATTACGGTATGTTCCTCAGTAGAACAGGACACCCTGTCCTCCATGCTATAATGAATCATACAACCTGTTATCAACCTATAGTTCAAAATCATGCCTCTCTCATGGTATGGGGGTGCATTAGTGCCTCTAACATGAGCAGTGTGGAAAAGATCCATCAATGCAGGAAAGTATATACAGGTTTTACCACGAGCTCGGATGTCTTTTTCAGGGAAGGCCTTGCATATTTCAGCAAGGCAATGTAAAACCACGTCCTGCATCCATCACGCAGCATGGCTTTGTAAGGTCCAGGTTTTGAACGTGCCGCCTGCAGTCCACATGTCCCACCAACTGAAAACATTTGGAGCATCATAAAAAAATCTCCAGGACTGTTCAACAGCTAGAATCCTCCATCGGACAAGAATGAGACGACAGAACCTCGAACAGCTGCTCTCCTCAGTCCCTGATGTTCACAATGACCGTTTTTATTCATTTCCTAACCTCAACGTTTGAAGTTTACAGCGTTCCGTTGTTGATAAAAATGCAGGTTTTTAAGAATTTCAAATCATTGCATTGGTTTTTTTTTTTACATTTCACTCAACGCCTCGCCTTTTTTTTAAGACTTGGGGAAACTTTGGTGCTTTTAAATCATCTCTAAGCTGTCAAACTGTGGACGTTTTGGTGAATGAACTGTACAAGAGGTGTAAAAATAACATAATAAAAAAAAACTTTCTCTTTCTCTGACAGGTCGAAAGAAACGGACTAGAACGTCAGCCACAGACCGTCTCTGTGAAAACTGTGGTACTGAAAAATAGACTGAACGCGTCAGTTTTTGTGTGTTTTCTATAGGAGATCAATAAAAAACATCCTACACTTACTAATAAACAAAAACTCAGATACAGTGGGAGCGCATGAGAGTTTGGATGTGTGCACTCTGGAGGAGGAGACAGAATGCCTCCAGTTTTTATGTGAGATTAAGACGTGTTTGCGAAAGATTTTGGAAATTGTCGACAACTGAAAAATTAGACGTTGAGCAAAGTTCTAAAATGTAAACAGTAATTTTATAAGAAACACGACACCAGTTCAGTCCTGTGGTCCAAAGCTGCTTGGGTCCATGAACGCACCGAAGCAGGAAGAGGAACTCTAAACTCACTACCTGAGCACAGTCACCCACTCTACGTTCTGCAGAGACTGCTCCACTTCCTTCGTGCATCTGAAAAGATCTCTTGTTGCTTCAGCAGCAACACGAAAGGCCGGGCGATGGACGCCGAAACGGGAGAGAACAGAAAGAAAAGCTGCTCTCTTCACCTCCGTCCGTCCACGGCTCCTTTAGAAGCAAACAAAAACAAACACCAGCTGTCCACGCACGTAATTGCTTTTTCATAAACCAGCACACCCACGCATGCCAGTGGTACAATGGTGGTGGTAAAGGGAGGAGGTCGCAGAGTTCATCCTGTCCCTACCTCACCTCCCGACTTCCTCCTCCCCCGCAGGAAACAAAGTGGATTGCCTCGGCTGATAGTGTGTGCCAGTCTTTCAGCTGTCCTCAACGTGCTTCGACAGCCTGGCTTCTGCTTCAGCATGTGAGGGTAAGACGGCCAATAAACTCGGTGGTTGCCCAAAAGAGCATGGCAGCGTACGCCAGCATGGAGGCTGGGAAGAGGTCACCGCTGCAGAATAATCTCCATTTCAACGAGCTACAGTTATGAAGCACACTGGAATAAGTTCTTTAAACGGTTTACGTCTTTTCTTTTTAAGTTTCTCAAAAAGTTTCATATATGTGTGGAGAACTGATATCCAAGCTGATTTTCTTTTGTTCCAATGTGACATTAGTAAAAAGATCAAACCTTTTAACAACATCCACCTGTTTTACTCCATTAACCCACTTCCTGCTGTAACTCTATCCAGTCTCCATGTAATTCCTTTTCCTCATGGGCAATTTAAAAACTGCTAGACATCTTTGAGAACCTGGAAGTTGAAGCTTAAAGAGGACTGGTTCCAGGACTGGTTCCAGGACAAGTTCACTCACTTTATGTAAACAATCAGGATGTTGCCCGTTTCCAGATCGTTTCTTTCAGATGTTGACTTGTTGATTCTCGTATTTCTTACCTTGATGCTCTGTGTTCAAACATTTAATACGTTTAGCTGTACAGCTGTCCCTCGTTTATCGTGGGGGATCCGTGCCCTGAAGCCCCACAGGAAGTGAAAAACCACCAAGTAGGAATAGTAGTACAAGTAGTAGTTTATTTTAATATTTATATATATATAATTTTAAAAATATATATATATTTATATATATAAGGTGTTTAAACCGCTTCCCACACTCTTGCAATATTCTAAACAAGTTTCTAAACTCTAAACGCTCTAAAAGAGCACAGCATGTCATGATTTCAGCTCTCTGCCTCCGCTGCTCTCAGCCACCTGCAAGTGCTCTTGGCCACGCCCACTTCTCCGCTCTGCACGGAGAACAGCTGCAAGAGGAAGCTTATCCTGCAGTGTGGGCCGCACAAAGGTGCAGCAGGTGCTAAATAATTAAACATAATTAGTTTTAAATAAAAAACATCCCATGCCGATGGTGCGGCTCATCCATCAGTCAGTTGTGTGTCATGTCCACTCTTATTTTGAAAAACCGCGATAGAGCGAGTCTGCAAAAAACGATCTGTGAAGTAGCGAGGGACTTCTGTAACTAGTTGTTTCATGCTTTAAAGAAAAGTCATGTGACATAATGAACATGTGTGGTAGTAGGTGTGTGCCAACTATGGTAGCAAAAACATACAATAAAGTAGTCCCTCGATACTTCGTAGTTCGACATTCGTGGACTCACTCTTTGGCAGGTTTTCACCATAAGATTGTACACGACGCCCAATTGTTAACTTTATTACATGATTGGGACGGTATGGGATAAAAAGTTAACGGGAGTGGACGAGAGTGGAAACCAACCAATGGGATAAAAAAATACTTTGCACGGGCGTCGCCATTTTGTAGTTTTCTTTCTATAAGCCTATACTGTAACGCAAGTCAAAAGAACTACACTACCCAGAAGCCAACAGTACTTCAGGCCACTGCTTTCTGCCAAAATCAAAAGAACAACAATCAAGAGAGCAAACACTGGCGGCCAAACTGATGTGGTAAAAACTGTAACAATCTATTAAACTCACAGAACTGGCAGGACAGTCACAAATAATCCTGAAGCTGAACTCATCAAGTTGTAGTATCTTCATTAGTGAGGACAGGTAAAATGTTGCAGTACTGTACAGTACATATACGCATGTTGTTCAAATTACATAGGTTTAAGAGTTTAGAACATTGAAAGAGCGTGGGAAGGGTTTATAAAGCCTTAAAATATATATACGGTATATAAATACCAAAATATAACAACCCTACTTTGCAGATTTTCACCTATTGGTGTCTGGAACGTAACTCCCGCGATAAGAGAGGGATTTCTAATAAAAACCGATCAATCGATATGATCAGAACGATGGTGCCTGAATGTTTGGCTCTGGAGCCTGCTCGTTATTCTGAAGGTATTTGTTTACAGTGATGATCATGAAGTAAACAACAGGACAACACACTCGTCTTCTGTGACGTCGCTTCTTCTCTCCGTGTTTCTGTGTTTGACCGCGGTGAACCTGCGCCTGTGGCTGGCTGCCACTCCAGCCACTCTGTGCCTGAGATCCTGAGTGGGACACAAAGCCGGCTTTATCCCTCCTCACTGTCGCATTAATGCTGCCCGGATGGATGCATTAGTACCACACACACACACACACACACACACAGTAGCTCTTAAACAATATACTACAATTAAACTAAAGGCAGAGGAAATTGTATA